CCCATAGAATGCTTCATTTCCTAAAGACCACAAGATAATCGAAGGATGATTCTTATCTCGATTCACAAGCTGGGTCATTCGGTCGATGTATGCGTCGCGCCAGGTTTCGTTATCGGAGGTGAATTTGGCGGCTTGTGGAAAGGTCAGTTTCTTACGTTCTTCGTAAGGTATTGATTCTGGAATATTGGCAGGATATGCTACAGCATCATAAAATCCGTGACACTCTAAATCTGCTTCATCCATCACCCATAGACCAAGCTCATCACAAAGATCATATATTCCCGGATGTGATGGGTAATGGGAGCAGCGCAGTGCATTGATATTATGTTGCTTCATCAACAATAAGTCCTGTTTGATAAAGGACAATGGCACAGCACGTCCGAGATGTGGATGATGGTCATGACGATTTGCGCCATTAAAGAGAATGGCTTTGCCATTGACTGTTATAAGACCGTTTTTGAGCTCGACGCAACGGAAACCGACGTTTTGGTAAATGGTCTGAGTAACCTTGTTGTTCACATGAACTGAAATCTCAAGCTGATATAAATAGGGTGTCTCGGCAGTCCATTTCTGAGGTTGTGATACCGACAAGCTCAATGAGAGCTTCTTCGCGTCAGACTCAAAAGATTTAGAACCACTCGATATTACTTCATCGCCATTAGAACTATCACGTAGCGTCAATTTTACCTCTCCAGAAGATGGAGCAACTAAATCCAAGGCAACTTCCAGAGTCGCGTCATTATATTTTTCATCAAGCTTAGGTGTAACGAAATAGTCGTCGATTCGACCCGTTGTAGGAAATGATAAAAGATTCACATCTCTGAATATACCTGGAATAAAATTGTTAGTCTACATTCCTCAATTGTAATGCCTCTCCCACAGAATACAGACTTACCAGAAAGCCACCATTGATCTTGATCCTCGATATATGACCCATCACACCATTGGTATACGCGAACCCAGACTTCGTTTGCGCTTCCCCGGTTCACAAATGTCGAAACATCAAATTCCGCCGCATTTCTGGATCCTTGAGAATACCCAACGAATTGGCCATTGACCCAGACGTGGAAAGCGCTATCTACACCATCAAATCTCAATCGCAATTGGGAAGACTCATCCCAAGACTTTGGAACGTGAAACGATCTGCGATAAGTTCCTGTAGGGTTTTCGGTCGGGACATGTGGAGGACAGACGGGAAATGGGAATATTGTATTTGTATATTGAGGTCGACCATGCCCTTGAAGTTGCCAATGCCCCGGAACTGTTATATTTCCCCATTCTACCTCATCATCTGGTATAGTCTCGATTTGTTTGTCTGCGGTTGGTGGCACATTTACATATCCTTCCTTAGTGCCCAATTCTGAGGTTGGTGTATTTGATTGAGCTGGAAGTGGTGCATGTTTGGGCGTTGGGGCATAATGAAAGTCCCATGTGCCATTCAATAGGAGAAAGGAAGGTGGGATATAGTATGATCTCGCTGGAAGTCGATTTCGTTGGAAGATCTTCTCATCGCAGATATCCAGGTCGGAAGCCATGATGGTATTGTAGCTGTGAAGGATGCCAAAAGCCTTGAGAACTGAATGAATATGTGAGAGAAAGAATGTATTGGTCTGTCTATGGCATATAATATACTACAATGGCATTGATATCAAGGCTATCGTGACTCGGCGTCCATCTTCGCCCAGAGTTGGCATCGAGTGCACCACTCTTGAGCGTGCCAGGAAACCCCTCATTGCATTGAGAACACAGCAATGCGTAGATTGACAGGTGACGGATGTCGGCCTCGGGGAAACATGTTCCGAAAGATCCAATTAAACAAATAATCTCACGATGGAGTAGGAGTTACATTAGTTTGGTACCTTTATTGGTTTTCGTGATTTTGGTTGGATGAAATGAGGGCGATGAGGGGTAGATTGAGTGAAGTTTGGGGAAATATTTAGTTCGGGGAACGCGGAGCCGAAACCCCTGTCGTTAAAACCACCACAAACACGAGACCATACCAATAATTTAATTTGGCGCACCAACCCACTCTCACCGCGAATTCTGGCTTACATCTCCACTCGAAATCTTGATTCAGGTTGAGTCGTTATTGGTCCTTCGATTACTCGCCGCAAAGTTCCCCTGTTTCCCCATGTTATGAATCTGGGGTATCTTCCAGAGCTTCGAGCTTCATGTGGTTGACAACGTCGGGATGTAGGCCAAAAATGGACTACATTCACGATTCGATGGGATGAGAGATCAGGTACGACGGGAAAGCAGTCAAATGAAGCCAATGATGGTAAACTTCATAGAGAAAGATGACAGACCTTGGGACTATATATTACGCCCTCGCGCTGCTGGTGAAATGAGGAAGAGATGAACTATACTGTCGTCTGTTGTTCTTGTTAATTACTATCTATCCTTCAATTCTTGATATTGCTTACTGGTTCTCAATAGCAATGGCCGAAAAGCACTTGCAGGATGTTGAACTTCACGAAACAAAGTCTGGGGGTGTAGTTGGCGAGGCAGTTCAACTTGCTCACGATGTCGACGAAACGAAGCCTCGTCCATTCACCTTGAGCATGTTTCGACTTTATGGTTGTCTGATGGTCGCATATCTATGCGGATGTTTGAATGGATTCGATGGCTCTTTAATGGGTGGTCTTAATGCTATGAAGACTTATCAAACCTACTTCCACATGTAAGTAATTATCGATTCGCTTCACTCCATTTCACTGGGATCGTTTCAACTACAGAGAATCATGTACAGTCTGGCTATTCAGGAAATATCCTTCTGTCCCCCAATGAGTGCACGGATTAACAGGACAGTGCAAAAATGGACTTCTGAATATCTCTTGATAGATCAAATCATTCATTCTGGGAAGTTTTACAATCATTGATTAGAGATGGAACCATCAAAGTGTGAATTTTGATATCAAACAATTGAAGAATGAATTCACTGAAAATATCGAATCTTGGGAAGTGTCCCGTTAGTCCATACACCCACTGGTGGTCTGCTAAAGATTTTTTGTCATCAAAATAGAGTATCATCATACTAACTGTCCTGAAGGAGTGCTGCAGGGTCTTCGACTGGCCTTGTTTTTGCCATGTACAACATAGGCTCAATTCCTGCGGTCTTCTTCACGGGTCCTGTCAACGATCATTTTGGCAGGCGGATGGGCATGTTTACTGGGGCAGTCTTGGTTATCATTGGTACATGTGTTCAAGCACCTTCAACAAATCATGGCATGTTTTTAGCTGGTCGATTTATTCTTGGGTTTGGAGTCAGCTTTTGCTGCGTTAGTGCTCCTTGCTATGTGAGCGAGATGGCTGTAAGTTCAATCATGAAAGGATCATAGCAGTGACTGACTCGTTTAGCATCCTGCTTGGAGAGGAACTCTCACTGGACTGTACAATACTACTTGGTACGTTATGTTGTCATTCCTTGAAAATTAGCAACCACTGATCAATAATCAGGTACATCGGATCAATTGTTGCATCTTGGGTTGTGTATGGTTGTAGGACAATCGATGGCAACGCTAGTTGGAGAATACCAATTTGGTGCCAGTTGATTTCCTCTGGCTTTGTAGCGATTGGCGTTTGGTGGTTACCCGAATCTCCTCGCTGGTTGATGGCACAAGACAATGCAGATGAGGCTGTTAAGGTCTTGGCAAGGTATCATGGAGAAGGTTCGATCGATCACCCAATGGTGACTCTGCAACTCAAGGAGATGCAACAGCAAATTGGCTTTAATGATTCTGACAAAAGATGGTGGGATTATTCTGAGCTTGTGAAAACTCATTCTGCTCGCCGCCGTCTTATTTGCGTACTCGGGATGGCATGCTTTGGTCAATTGAGCGGAAATTCCGTTACCAGTTACTACTTACCCGAGATGTTACTCAATGCTGGAATTGTATCTGAAGAAAGACAGCTTTTGATGAACGGCATATACTCTCCTATCTGCTTTATTGGAGCCATTGCTGGAGCCAGATATACAGATAATTGGGGTCGTCGACCACTTTTACTCTACTCCATCTTGTTTTGCTCGGTCTGCTTTGCAATCATTACTGGAACATCTAAATTGGCTACCCAGGACACAACCAACGTCACTGCTGCAAATACAGTCATCGCATTCATCTACATCTTCGGATTTGTTTTTTCTTTTGGATGGACCGCTTTACAAAGCATGTACATTGCAGAGACGCTTCCAACTTCAACCAGAGCCAAGGGTACAGCTATCGGCAATTTCTCCTCGTCGGTCGCAAGTACAATCATTCAATACAGCTCGGGACCAGCATTCGAGAACATTCACTACTACTTTTATCTCGTATTCGTCTTCTGGGATTTGGTCGAAGCGGCGATCATTTACTTCTACTTCCCAGAAACTAAGGATAGAACATTGGAGGAATTGGCCGAAGTGTTTGAGGCTCCAAATCCAGTTCAAAGGAGTTTGGAGAAGAGAAACGCAACTACTGTTCTCAGGACACTCAGAGTTGATACGACGATTGTGAAAGGCGAAGTTTGAAGCAATTTATGTTATATCTGTCTGTTTGGAAAGGATGTGGGACTTGTGAATTCATGGTGTTTGAGTTATCTTAATTTTAGTATGAATTATGATCTAATTTCTGACATTGAATTTCACGCCAGCAGGCAGTGAGTGCATATAAGAAATACCATCATATCCAAACTTGTAAAATGTCTACTCCGTACAATTCTTTTCGATTTCTACTCTCAAAATTACAGGGACAAATTATCCTGCCCGCCTCTGATATCTAATGCCTGATGCATGCATACACGACCGCTAACCCACCATTTACCACCCCACATGACCCCAATATTTGATCCCAACCGCATATTCATTTTCCCACACTCCACATAATTACAAAGGCTTTTTACGCCGGCCAACCATTCGAGCCATTCTTCGAGATAGGAGGAAACATCCGTGCCAATCATCAAAAAAATGGATACGCGTCCACCAAGCAAGCGTCTTCATATCTTGTAATTTAAATTCCAAAAGTCTTATGCCAAATCCCCCGAATATCTTTATCGAAAGTCGAGAGCATCTAGTATCCCCTGCGAGCGTTGTGATGTCGGTCGTAGATCCTGCCCCACGGACAAGACGACGGGCAGCTCATGCAGTAAGAACCTCGGTCAATATTCATGTGAGAAGTTGTTGACCACTCATACAGTGCGATGTCTGCCGATTGAGGAAAATCAGGTAATTATCATCCGTTCAAAGGAGTCTCACATACTGAATAGTGGTATCGTAGATGCGATGGGCACAATCCATGTGCTACATGCATAGCGACGGATCAGGATTGCTCGTATGGAATTGAAGTGAATCCGTAAGTCTTCGTTTCAATCTTGAGTTATACCCTTTTAACACGATCTAATTCTAGTCGGGGCAAGAATGACTCGATTTTGGAGGGCGTCCTCCGCATCGAGAGATATCTACAGGATATGAATGCAATGATGGTACATAATCCTTCGCTATGTCAGTGCAAGCGAAAACCCATTGCTTATTCGTGTCTAGGCTGCTTCGCCTGCTTTTATGAATCATCATGTCGCGAATGATCACAATTCAGGCTCGCCTCAAACGGCGTACTCAGGAGGAGCAACCATTTCATCGCCAGTACCACAACAGATAACTAGACCTCGTCATCTATCTTTTCATGATGAACAAAGTGTCCACAATGCCGTTTTATCTTCTTTTCATACTTCGGCTACCGAGTCCATTCTTTCATGGCAGCTATTCGATGTGTTCCCTTCCGTCAGACAAAATTACACCTCAATATTTCATTTGGAACAAGCAATTATGCCAATTGCTAGCAGGTCGTCTACCATGCATCCGTATGTCGGAAGTCCAGAGCTGGATCACATCATGGAGTCATTTCAAGCAAACATAAATTTTTGGTATCCTGCGATGTCAAATAACAAAAGAAATCAACTCCGAGATTGTGTTCTGTTACGAAAATTGGAGCAACCTACAACTTTATCTGTTTTGGCTCTGTTGATGATGGCACTGGGATGCGCAAGTCAATCAATCATAGATATTGCTGTTCCGAGGGATCTGACATCGGATGAACATGAGTACTACAAGGGACGTAAATTAATGGCAGATATCTGTTTCGATGAAGTTCTCAAAAGGCTGTACATTGCCCATACCGAAATGAGTTCAACTGCTGTTCAGTGTCTTTTCTACACCGCGTAAGTATCCGTATCTTCGGGGTTGAACACTTTTAACTGTAAATTTCAGGGTATACTTTGCATTTTCTCAGCGACCACTTCAAGCATGGGAATACATTAATGCAACCGCTGCAAAATGTCGACTACTCTTATCTTACCACTCACCTGGAGAATCGGCCGAAGATGTCGAATGTTTAAGGCGCATCTTCTGGTCATGCTATATTCTTGAGAGGTAAGTAATATATTGGTGCGAGATTATTTCAAGTTAACACATACAAGTGACTACCTTGCGGAGTTATCTGGTCTTCCTGAGTCTGGTCTTGCATCAATTGAATCAACTATACCTCTTCCAGGTAGTTACGATACACATGACTCACAAGTAGATGAAGAACATTCATCACTCTATTTCCTAGCATGTATCTCGATGCGTCGACTTTTAAATCGCGTTCACAACCTTCTTTATGCCAAAGAAACCGGAGCAAGTCTTGACGACGCACGATTCCCGTTCATTGTGGAAGAACTAGACCATCAACTCGAAGAATGGAGGGACTTCTTACCCCCAGCTTTACAATTCGTCGTCAATACACAACCTGCTCAAGGTCAACACGCAAGTTTCCTGAGACAGAGATATTTGACATGTAGAAGTGTTATTTATCGACCCTACTTGACTTGGGTTCTTACAAATCATTCTCAAGACACAAACGTCGCACAAAACGTACTGGAAAAGTGTCGAAATTGTTTAGATGCCTGTTTACTTCACATAATTAATTTACGAGGATTTGCGCATACGGTCATGATGGATACTTGGATATGTTCTTTGTCGTATTTCTCCCCCCTCTTCTCCATATAACGAAGTCCATCCCATCCATCCTATTTCTCACACGATTACACATCCAATCACATTACTAACTTCCATCCAGAATGACAGGCGCAATGCTTGTACTCCTCGCCGCTTCCCGTCTTCCATATCTCCGCAATCTTCTCGGCCAAGACGTCACAAACATTGGATCACATCTTCAAACATTAATTAAAAGGTGGGTTCAGATACCAGGGGAAAGCAGATCTCCCAGTATTGAGCAGAGTCTGAGGATGATTGGGGAAATTGATGTTTTTCTTCATCAGGAGTTTAGAACAGAGAAAAAAGATTAGTTAGAGTGTGTGGTGTGTTACATCCGCAGTTTTCTGATGGGTTGTACCACGTGGTGCTAACTGATGTATCTACGATTCTACTTCATATTCTGCGATTTGATGAACGGGAGTTGATTGGAATTTCGAAGTCATGTCCTGCGAAATAACAGAAGCGCTGGGGCGTTTGTTGTCAAAGTTAGTGGATGAGGAAAAACTACGAGCATTATCAAATCACCCACCAAAAGAAAAAGGAAATATTTCGTGACATATAATACACGATTATTATATAAAAACCATCATCGATCCATCAAAATGATCCAGGTGTCCTCATTTTTAACTCAAGAAATTTATAAATGTCTCTAAACTACACACAAAATGTCTCGAGGTGCCCTCTTCACATCTCAAGTTGGTGTTGATGAACCCCTGTAATGACCCACAGATCCTCCGACTATCGTTATCATGCTCGTGACATTGATTGTCACAAGAATCACAATCATGATTCAGAAAGCCTCCTTCCGACTATACTAATACATTGCTATAGATTTCAGTCAGACGGGTCGTTGCGACAGCGTTTCTTCATTTCCTTAATGCGTACTGTTCTCTGTCGAAATTGATAGTGGCGGGCTGGAAACCTGGCTGGATTCCCTGATAACAAAAGGAAAATAATAAAGGACAGTTGAGATGTCGACAGAAGATACACCGTTACTGTATCACGATTTCCCTTTCTTTTGATCTCAACATTGGTTTCATATGTTCTCAAACGCATCACTAATCTCTACATAGCTCAGATGAGGTCTCCGATAACCTTAATCATACCAAAGCCAACGATGATACGATCGCAACTTCACCGACCTCAGCTGCTGCTTTTCCTGAGAACACAGCCTTCGCAAAAAGGCTGGTCAGGAAAATAGATCTAAGACTCATGCCATTGATGTTCATAACGTTTAATTTTAATTACATCGACAAAAGCATTTTGAGTACTGCCGCTGTGTTTGGGTTGGTTGGAGATACGGTATGTATGTTTCGTTTGTGAATAGGGAGATTCGGAATTCCCTGATTTTGGAAGAATCCTGACTAAAAGGATCGCGAGATGCGAATATCCAGTCGTTACTGACACTCACCAAGCATCTAGTGGACGGAAAATTCAGTTCCATCTCCAGTGTCTTCTATTTCGGGTATCTTTTATGGGAATACCCTGGCGTCTATCTGATCCAAACCCTTCCTGTAGCAAAATACATTGCAGCGGATATTGTGATCTGGGGAATCATCGTTGCGAGTACGGCTTCCTGTACCTCTTATCAGGGATTAATGGTAGCGAGGTTATTCACCGGGATGGTAGAATCAAGCATTAGTCCGGCGTTTCTGTATGTTACGAGTATGTGGTATACGAGAGATGAAATGCCTAGTCGCATGGGGCTGTGGTAAGTGAACTGTGAACAAAATGTGTAAATTTCCATGATGAGGTGGCTGATATTGTTCTAGGTATGCGGGAAATTCTTTTGGGGGTGCCGTTGCTAGTTTGCTCTCTTTTGGGATCGGACAGATTCATTCTTCATTGAAACCTTGGAAGTTGTTATATATAGTAAGTGTTATCCGAATGAAGCGATGAAGAATCATCTTTAACAGATCGTAAGATATTTGGATCAGCGACTGCTTTATGGGGCTTCGTTGTCCTGATTCTTTTACCAGATACTATCTCCAGAGCCAAGTTTCTCACCGTGGAAGAGAAGAAATGTGCAGAAGAGAGAGTGCGTGTAGCAGGAACTGGAATTACCATGTCTATCAAAAATGAATGGAAAGTCGAACAAGCTATCGAGTGTCTACTTGATCCAAAAACTTGGTTTTGCGTTTTCATCTCCCTATTTACCATGGTATATCGATAGTCTTACCATTTCCGAAAACATGATTAACCGAGCCCCAGATCCCGAATGGAGGAACAACCAGTTTCGCAAACATCCTAATAACAAGCTTTGGATTTACTGGTCTCCAATCAACTCTCATCTCTCTCCCATCCTCTCTAATATCCTTTCTCACCATCGTAACATCCGGTTATCTCGCGTCTCGCTATCGCAACACCACGACTCTCCTTCTCTCTACTCTTCTTTTACCCCCTATTATAGGCGCAAGCCTCATGAACTGGGCTCCTCTCAATTCGTTAAAACTAACAGGTTTCTACCTAATTGGTTTCTCTCACGCGACTATTCCTTTAACAATGAGTCTTATAGGAGCGAATACAAGAGGAACGACGAAGAAAATGACAATGAGTGCTTGTATGTTTGTGGCGTATTGTGTGGGGAATATGTTGGGTCCGCATATTTTTGGTGGTAAGGAAAAGGATATGGGGTTTGGGAGAGGGTTTGCGGTCTGTTTGGGATGTTACTTTCTGTCTGCGGCAATGGCAGTAGGACTGAGGGGGTATCTAAAGAGTATTAACGCAAGGAGGGACAGAGAGGATTGGGGTTTGGAGCCCGAGGGTGCGGGCGAGGGTGAGGGAACAGAAGGAGAAATGGACATGGGCGGGAATCTCACAGATTTCCAAACTCGAGGGTTTAGATATAGATTATAGTCTTTTGGAAGTGATCGACCTGTACTGGTTCTATTTGTCACTTTCCGACGACCTAGACATTCAGACACCAATCTAACGAAAGTCATCAATGTATCTCCACACCCACAAACCAAAGTATGTAGACAACCGCCATCTTTATCCGAACCAATACCAAATAGCATGCATGTCAGCACTAATGCATGTGTTACATGTGTTGATTCGAATACGATATGCAACAAATCCGCGATGTGTCTTTCAAATGGTTTTGCCACTCTTGTGAGGGGTCTCACGTGATGTGATTTGTTGGTTTGGTTTGGTGTCGCGGAGAAGCGGGGTTGCGGAGCGGGGATGGAAATTGTAGGGTTGGTTGATGGGGTTGATGGGTTTGATGGATGTTTGAGATGTAGAGGTGTGGATAAAATGTGTTAGGGGAAGTTACTTAGTGCCATCTTGCTGTTGATGGGGGTGGTTGATAGGGAAAGTGGTGGTTGGAGCTCGAAAACTGGTGATCCTATATATGTTTCTTCAAGTCTTTCTTTTCTTTTCTTGTCGTTTTGATGTATACGCGTGGGATGTCCTCATCACCATAGGATAAAATTCTCATTTTCTCTAGTTTGGGTTTCTCTGAAATTATTTATTTACAGCGATGCTTAGAACACTACTATCTTACATATCAATGTGAGGGTCTCAGGAGATGCTCTCCTCGCAAGCGATGATTTAAACTCGCTTCCGCTTCTTGGAGGTTAGCTTTTATAATAATAAGGAATAGTATTATTATAATGATAGTGGAAGATCTAGTCAGTTTAAGCTTGAGGGATAAATCGAATATATAGAATAAGAGTTGAATTGAAGTCAATTTAGAAGAGCTAGGCTGAGTTGAGATGAATTGCTTGCTTTTTCCTAGATTTTCTTTAAAGAATATTCTAGGTTTATATAGTTTATAATGAAATTCTAGTATATTCTATGCTTATAAATAAGATCGATTTAAATCGTATCTTATAGAATCATTTTAGATAATAAAAAGAAAGTACAACCAATCAATTTAGCGATATTTCCTGTATACTTCCATCTAGTTCCATTTCATTCTATTCCATTATAAATCAATTTGATAAGAGATACTATTATACAACTATATGATAATATGATTTTATAATATAAGATCATATTATATGTGTATTAGTCATCAAGATATCTCTTATTTAGTAAGATATTAATAAGTGATTTAGTGGACTTATTATGAATCCTCACACCGCTACTCCCTAATAACAAGGCCAACGTTAGATCCGCATATGTGGGTTTGTTTCCTATCAAGAATTCTTGGTCTGCTAAAGGGGTGTACGGAATGCTTGTTAGATGTTTGATTTCGTTGATGGAGCGATCGGGGGTGTTGAATGGGATGGCTTTCTCGTGGTTGGAGTGGGCGAATTACTTGATGTTTGGATGGGGTGTTGGTTGGTTGTGATTTTGAGAGTGATTTTTCATTATTCAAGATTGTTTGGTTTGGTTTGATGATTTCTGGGGCTCTGCAATTCTTATTTCAGCACAAGCTCTTGGGTGAGCATGATGGTTGTATCTTACCAGTTATCTGGGTTGGTGGCTAAAAATGTAGGTTCCTTCACTATCTTGTTATCGACAATTTCGAGCTTATAGGAATGCTAAGCTCATCGCATGGAATATTGATCATCCAGGAGTTTGCTCAATCGGCGTGGCAGTAAGTTTTAAATGGGATTGTCATTTTGAATGGAATCTCTTTGAAAGTAACATAATGGTAAGAGGAAATGTGCTCGGAATGCAGATGAGAGCTTCACCCACAACTCGGCCAAGATATGTCCTATCATTCATATTATTGTCTTTTTATGCCTCCTCTCAGCTCCAACAGTTGGTGGCGTTTGCAATGTCTCAAGCACACTCGTCAGATCGACTTTCGGGACAGCTTCACCTCAGTCCTCATTCGCGTTCAAGACACAAGAACTTATTGCTCATATCTAACAGTTGGATGATTGTTTCTTGGCACTAATTTATCTGAAATTCAATTCATAATCACTGGCATGAACCATCGTTCCGTCTGTTCCAGACTCCACTGAGGTCGGTCACATGGACAACAAAGTATTGTCAAAAGTCTCACCATTAATTCATGTACGGCAATTGAATTAGAAGTGAAAGAGGCACAGTAAACTAGGACGAAGCTACTCTTTAAGCAGGAAAAAGCGCTACTTGGCAACCATTACCATTTTTCACCACCAGCTTCACATCTTCGGTCCATGGCCTATCATCTCGACTTTCTATTTTCTGAAACTGAGCTGCCATTCTGGCAATAACGTACGAGGCCTCTCCTAGAGCTTTTTGTCGACCAGCACAGCTACGCGGACCGTGGCTGAATGGCATGAATTCCCAATTACTTGGAGAGATGTGATTCCATCGGTCGGGATTGAATATCTCAATGTCATCCCCAAATACCGATTTTTCTCGGTGAAGTGTGTAAAAGTTTGTGCTGACTTTCCTACCTGCTGGGATGAATATTGGTGCTGTACCATCAGAACCCCCGCCGGTTGGAAGTGTTGTGTCGACAAGAGCTACACGGCTGTTTGCATGGAATAGAGGATAGATTCGTAAAGCTGTATTCATTAATTCCTTTCTGACAAAAAGCGTAAGATTCATAGATCAGGGTAAACTTACACTCTTTTATACAATTGTGAAGAAATTTTGAGTTCCTCAAATCTGTTGGATTACAAACTTCGAATGAACCTAGAGCACAAATTTCCGTTCGTAGGCGTGCCCAGACTTCGGGAGATCTTGAAAGGAGGAATATCGTATTGCTCAAAACTATGCCCGTTGTATCCTGGGTTACTAGCATACCTTGAAGAATTTGCGAGCGAATTTCGTCCAAGTTCTTTCCTCGGAATACTAAATTCTCGAGAAGACTTGAAGGATGGTCTTCTGACTTTAAGCTGTACACTTTTTCTAGTGCTTTGGCAATATGATGGTCCACGAATAAATGCACTACTCTGCATGACTCTTTCCACTTGTTACTGAGGAGAGATACACTGCGTCCAAACTTTCCAAATGCTAATCGTATACCCATCCAACTTTGTGCAGTATCAAATGCTTTCTCGAAGGTGTACATATCTACCGGCGAGTCCCCTGAATATAATGCTGCTATGCGCTTACCAAACAGGAATTGGAGTGATAGATCCAGGAACTATGGTCAATTAGACATTATGCACTTGTCTTTGGGCTGCAACTCACCAATTCATTGAAGATTGGTGCCAAATCAACAGTCTGTCCATTTAACGACAAGTGTTGTATGTACTGTTCGTAAGCGTCGCCGAGGGGTTTCAAATTTACAGTATTGGCTTCTGTCAAGGTTGAAACAAACAAACTTCGATGAACTCTCCATTCTTCACCATCTCTAGTGACAAATCCTCTTCCGCAAAAAGGCTCCATAGCATCAGCTCTACCTGTACCCCATTCTTTCCAGTTTGTTCCATAGATTGCCTTTAGATTGTCTGGATGGGCTGTATAGATCGTGGTTCTTCCGAGACGTAAAGCTTGGAATGTCTTGCCGTAGATATCATGTTGCTTTGAGTGTGTTTCTAAGATATTATGCTGTTTTCGCATCTCGAGAGATTTCTTGAACAGATCCAAACCAAGAAAAGGGTCAATTGCGGGTAAGCTTGGAGCCTGTTGACATTCTGCAGGTGTGTTCCTTCTGAGTTTCCATCTTGTGTAGAGCTGATAGCAAAGAATAACTGAGAATAATAACAGCAATTTGATGAGTAAAGAGGCCATAACTAATAGTGCTCACTGCCCTTCTTATTTGTGAAGTTATTCTTTTCTGTGTTGCAAGAGATCTGGATAGCTCGCAATTCCCATAAGTTCAAGGCATTTTATTTGTGTAACTTCCTACCTAGGTACATATTTATAACTTTTGACAAACGGAAACGGATAGCAAACTGATAGAATATCCGCCGTCTTTACGTGCTTGAGATGTCGTCTATTGGCTCTCCCAAGGTCGTCTTAACATGGATCAGAAAGGGGTAGCTCCGATTGGCACGTTATTCACTACCATGACGGGTGGCACAATGCGCAACATTTTTCCAACAAGTGATTGGGTTACATTCTCTCAAGCTACATAATCAAGTTTCTTGGCCGCCAAATGCCGAACGAGCTCAACATTCGATCCCGCTCTCTCATCCAAAATGATGCCATTGAAAAAGGAATTATAACAACACAGCCTCTAAAAGCCACTTTCCAATCCACCTCCTTATCGCTCAACTCCACAAACAGCCTCCGATGTGTCAAACAACTCCTAACTATTCTAGTCGCCCTGGTAGGCGGCGACAGAAAGCCCGTTCGCATCAATAGCGTTGTCAGGCCATCTCACGAATTCATCACCATCTAATGGAATTCAGCAAAAGTATGTTGCATAGTTCAAAGTTATTTTCACAAACCTTTTGATCTAATCGTAGGGGGGTCTATCATGATTGTTAGCGGGATAGCGTGTCAGTAAGGTGTTTTATCTCTTACCAGGATGGCTGAGAGGGGCAGCAATGGCCATAAATCCAAAGCTTAAGACTATGAGTTGGTAAAGAGTGACGCGCATTTTCTTTTGAGGAAGTTTGATTCGATTGAGTTTTTTATTGTATCAGATATCTGGGAAAAGGCAAATAAGTAGGTAGGTTCAGTCGATCATTTTATAGTTCAGTTAAATGATTTTAGGAGTTCATAGTTTTCTCCATTTCTTAATCGATTCCTCCGAAAAGATCCAAAATATTGGATGATGACAAGGAGCAAAAAGCTTCGCCTTCCACATACATAAGTACCGAATACCATTTCCAATGTTCTGCCCTACGAGGTTGCTTGTACTATTGGTTGAGAGGAGAATTTCCCAGCTGGTTTCATCTTTTTCCCTATATGGAAAAAGCCTTATCGGTTTCCCCATCATCTTTATCTCAATTTGGTTGCACAAATGTCGGACATTGATGCTTCCCGCAGCAAATCTCGACGGTTTTGCATTTAACCGGTGACCAAAAGCAGGCCGGTATCAATTTTATTGGATATTATCGTTTTCAGCTGCTTGCGCGTTAGTTCTTGGTTAGACGAGGATAACCCGATATAAATATTCTACCCATCGTCTGCGGGGATGTCATCGGGTGTTGGGTCCTCGAAATTGCCATTCTTGGCTATGTTGGGCAATGCGTTGAAGCCTATTGCTACCCCGAAGATCATACGATGTGCTCTATGTAGAAAAGATACAAAGGTACTATACAGTCTAATCTGATAATGTTGAGCTCGAGTCGCCGATATGCAATGTCCTTGGCTTAGATTAAAGATGTGTGCAATCAGTCATGTCAATCTTCAGCAAACAGTTTTATTCCTACGATCAATGCAAAATGGCATCTGAAAGTAAAACATTCTTATTGAATGGGGAAATATCAGAAGATGAAAAACTTAGGAATAGACAAGATAATGCCAGCCTAACTCTGAGAGTCGTCTTCCTACATCTTTCACTCATACTATTATATACTATCATTTTTTTACTCGCCCTACTCCGATCAACTTGTCCATTATCAACTTCAATTCATCGTATGCTTCATGAATTTCCAATGACCTTCAGGTGCTGTCGTACTCATTCATTCTAGCTTTACCAGGTGTGAGGATTCGATATGTACCAGTTGCTCCTCCCGATCTCCCATCTTCACCTTACGCTGGGCCTCCGAGCGAGTCGGTAGACCAAGCATGGCATGATCTATTGAAAGACATGAATATACGGGTCACAGCTGAAGAATTGGAAAAGAGGAATCAAAAGTCCATATCTTTACCAGAAGGTGGTGGTCATATGGTCTGGATTGGAGCTCATCATCAACTGCATTGCATCGCAAGTTTCATCTGAATTATTATTTTAGCTAAGAAACTGACAAGTCGACAGAAAATGCTTCGACGCTGGAACTATCGGGATCACTACTATCCCAACATAACAGACCCAACAATAGAACATTGGGATATCCATGCAGGTAACCTTTCCCTCTCCTCATCACCAAGATGAAGATGCTGACGCAGTAGTCAGATCACTGTTTCGATATTTTACGCAGTGCAGTAATGTGTCAAGGCGACACAACGCTCACAACTTTCGGATGGGAAAAACTATCTAAGCCACAGCCGCACGTCAAACCGACAGAACATCGATGCGTGGATTGGAACGCGCTAATGGGTTCTCTCGTCGATCGTGTAGTTGGTGAGGAAGAGATGGCTGCGCTTGTAAATCCTAGATTGGAAGGGGGTGCATAATCGGGATGGAGTTCGGAGCCGTTGGGCTGCGGATGTGTGATGGACGATTGTGTCAATGAAACATCTATATCTTTTAACGCTTTTGGTACAACATAATATTCTTGGTTGGGAGAATTTAGCTGTGTTGACCGTTTTTGAGACAGCTGCTTCTTGTCGATTGACGCGTCTTGGCTAACTGTTCAAAATTTGCAGTGGCATGATTTGATCTTGTAACTATCTAGAGTTCCATTGTCAGGATTTTAGTGTATAAAGGTGAACCAATAAATCATGAGTACTCAGCTTCTGTCAGATTTACATTTCATGACAGATTTCTTGACTCCTGAGACAACAATTTAAGCTATACGCTACTCACTCTTTAGTAATGCGACTATCATACAAATTCTATCTCGTTGCAACTATCCTATTCACTTTTGTGCAAATTCCAGCTGTTCAGGCAATCTTCTTCCGATTTCTCCAAAGATTGTCTTTAATTTTGACTCGTCAGAGTTGGTTGCCCCTATCTTTTTCTCTCATCCCTCGCGATCTAATCTCTGTCTCTCTCCAACCCAATCCTGCAGCTCTTCCCAATTCACACACATATGCTCAGTACCCCATCCAGTTACACCCTGTATCACTCCCGTCAGCAAGCATTCTTTCTTATCTTCATCCACTTCTTGCCTTTTCTCTGCTATGACAATTACCCTTTTTCTCAAGCCACAACAGAATCACATCAATCTCTCGTTAAAATACAAAAGAAAGCTCACTTTAAGCGAAGAGGAGATGAACCTACTTTCAACTCAGGATTGACCCTCTCAATACTGCTATCCCCACAACACATCAAACTCTGCCTCAAAAAATCAATGCAATGCCTCATGTGACTTCTTCTCATATGAGGTTCCAATTCTTCCTCAAGAAGTACTGTTCCTGTTGTCGCTGCTTCATTATTGAGGTAGTAAATGTGACGTATTCCATCCTAGACTACCGTTAATAACTATTACTGGGATATCATATGATAAATTCTTGATGGAAAAGAAAATCAATGAAGATGGGGAGAAGGTGAATCAGATATGGGATGAAAAAATAGACAGAAATATATCCGTACCAAACAATGCAACTGATGCAAGACGCTCAATGTAGCTCTTTCTCCTTCCACATAAGGATTATTGAAGAATCCCCCATCACCTTTCGTCATAAACAATCCATTCCAAGCAGCATCTGTGGTATTAGATGGCGGATACGAGAAATTGCGATTATAGGAGAAACTACTCAGTTCTTTAGCAACTAATCAGTTGACATTAGCTTCACGAGAATTTAATAAGTTTAGAGAGAGTGTGCATACATCGAGGTCCTACACGGGCAGCTATCGACTGTGTGTCTAGAAGTCTTGCAGCAAGAAACCCCAGTGCACAGGATGCGAAACAAAGGGTCAAGATTAGCAGAATATTCAATCTCAAGCTCAGTTTGTTCTTGGAACTCTTATGAAGCCCCGGTTTTGTTTCTCCATCAGTATCGACGGTGATGGGTGCGTAAACAGGTTGTCTCGTGATTAAAGGAAACCACATTGTGCCAAGAAATTTGAACATATTTGTGCGTCACTCTACCATACAATAAAGTATATAAAAAGGTCCAACTTGTTAACTCACAATATGAATTGTTTATTCTCTCTCTCGGTATCACAGAAAGAACTAAATCTCTCGTGGCGGTACGAGATAAAGAAGTCATGAATACAGAGAGGCGTCTCTAATTTCATGCACGACCACTTTAAAGCGTATTAACCTCAAGTCCGATACTGTATGCGAAATATCTGCGACGTTTTTCTCTACACAATAGCATTTCTAGCACGAGTTGGAGAGGATCGTACGACTGCCAAACCGCGTTCTTATCGTCTTGGAGTCTTGGTATGTTGTACATGTACGACCATGATATAAGCCGTGTATAACAATAGAAATCTTGAGGATTTCTTTTCCTTCACTTTAGATAAATATAAATTCCATATATTCTAAAAAACTGCAGATACACAATAGCTCTGAAATATCCATTGCCATCGTATCATCAATACATCTTCACGATAGAAGAAGAGGCGTAAGCCGAACTTTATAGATAGCAACCCAACAACATACCATGCGTCGGGGATATAATCCCCTCGGAAGTCATCCAAACTCTCCGACTTGGAAGAAGGAAGGAAGCGGAGTCCCGTAATCTCTAATCAGCCAGCCCGCCGGAAGTGCCATCCTGTAAGCAGCTTGATGGCAACAATCAACTTCTTTTAAATTACCTTCCAGAAGATTGTCATCAGGTCTTCAAGCCGAAAGTTGCCGTCTTTTCTCCTGTCTCCATGGCGTGATTTGTTATTTTTAATTCTCAAGCCAGAATCAGGGGCCTGAATAGAATTCTTTGAAATGAGGGATCAGATAAATGGAGATGAGGGGGAATATGTCTCTGCATGTCATGCAAATTGGATTTATTGAGGGTTAAAATCTAGGTAGCAATGTTCCACGGCATTTGAAAGGACGGGATAGTATTGGATGTTTATGTGTATACGAGTATGGTTCCAAGAAAAGGTGATTCGTTCGCGAGATGAGCGTCAATGTGCTTATTGTTCCACGCGAAAGGGATGGATGGGTATTATTGGATGGCATCTAGGGCTTTTTCTTGGAGAGAAAGAGTGGTATGAGAAGTTTTGGAGATAGACGGAAAGGATTTGAATGAGACATAAAAATGGAGGATTGTGGAGTTTAAATGCTCATCTTCAATGAACATGAACATTCAGCGATACATCGAAAGGGTAAATCGTGTTGGACTAAGTACTTACATGTACGACCACCAAGACCCAATGCTATTGCTCATGTAATACCACTTTGGCCACAAAGTTCAGAACCTCGTGTCTAAGTAATGTATCTAAGCATCCCAGCTCCTCATTTCTTGGAGCGCTGGCAAACCAAATTGCCAAGTCATGTAATAGAATGTCCGAGCCGTTGCGTCTGCGAGCAGAATGCATTCCATTGAAGAATCTTCCAGCTCAGCCGTTTCCACTTTTACCCCCCTCACGATTCTGTACCATCTAGCCATGCGTCGCGTCGAGGGGGTGGAGGATTCCAATTAATAGTATATGATAGGTATGTAGTACAGCACTTGTCGGCGCTACGGATAATAAACCAGTCATATATGTAAAAATATCCCCACTCGAGTCCAGAGATTCTGTGTTTGAAGTAAAGTCCAACATCTACGTGATATTCTCTCCCAGACAACAACCATCATAGTTAACTCCCACACTATGGCGATCCCAGAAGTTGCCGTCGGCGGCGTCGTCGCAAATGTGATTCTTGTTGTGCTCGCAACTATTATAGTTTCCCTACGCTTCTATGCAAGAAAGAGAAGTAAGCTGGCCTTACAAGCTGATGATTGGTTGATATTTTTCTGCTTGGTATGTTCATCTTCTCATCAACTCATCGTGTGTACCATTAATGTTTGTCTGGTAGATATGCTCAATTGCGTTATGCGTTGAATGCATCTATGCAGCCGCGAGTGGACTCCGAGGAGTTCATCTATCGACTTTGAGCTTCCCAGATATCGAACGGTTCTTTGAAGTCCAATTTGCGGATACTTTGATTTGCCATTTTGTGTATGGACTTATCAAAATATCAGTCGTGGTTTTCTATAAACGCATTTTCACTAGCCGGACCTTCATCATCTGTGCGAATACCGCATTGGGCATGATTTCGTTATATATGATTTTGTCATTCTTCGTAAGTATCAATGATATCAAGTGAAAGTGTGGCACTAAAGACATAATCCATTTAGCTGTTCCTTTTTTCGGCTCATCCTGTCGCAGCGTATTGGAACACTACACCCGAATTGATTGGCACTCAATTTATTTTGGATGTTCCGAATCTCGTTATCGCGTGCGCAGCTGTAGATATCTTCCTTGATATCGCAGTCCTAAGTCTTCCATTCCCTGTGATAAAGGGCCTTCATATGCCGACAGAGAAGAAAGTTTATGTGTCCGGTGTTTTCCTTCTTGGTGCTTTGTAAGAATTCAGTGTCAATGCAGACAGATGTTACACTTTGCTGATACCAAATCATTATAGCTGTCTCATCTCATCTTGCATCCGACTTTACTATTCCCAGAAACTATTCGGAACCAGCACACCTGATCTCAGTAAGTCTGCCATGACCTATCATCTCGCAGCTCTAACCTAAAAATCATCAGAACTCGACGAAGAAGTGTATCTCTGGGCTCACATCGAAGCCTACGCCAGCACTATAACTGCCTGTCTTCCCTGTCTCGCACCTCTTCTCCGCGGTGGCCGCAGCCTCGGCTCTATGATCGGTAGCGTGCGTTCTAAACTCTCCATCCGCAGCAAGAACAGTTCTCTGTTCCGAAAACACTCGTCTGACTCCACATCCAACAATCTGCCAAGCCCTCTTTCCGAAAAGTCACCTTGGAATGACGATGGATCAGGACCAACTTCAATTGTTACGGGTGGAGCTAGAGATTTGGAGAGTCAGAGATATCCCAAGTACCCCGATGAGAGAATTCTGGTGGAGAAGAGCTTTGTTTCGGCCGCTGGATCAGCGGTTAATTGATGGGGTATATTCAGTTGATAGGGACAAGACCTGGCTTTGAAGAGAGTCCTTAAATGGCTGTGTTTGTACTTGGAGGATAGGTACTTAAGGATAGATCCGTCCTTTATGTAAGACTTTATGGAAATGAGACTTCAAGTGACATTGCATTGTCCTGTGCTTTCCTAAACGGATTTCTCGATTTAAGATTTCGATTGAAACCTTTCAAAGGGCAGTGTTGCTCGAAGCATGCCTTGTCCTTGTTGGTTTGAAAATACTAATCGTTAGTCAACATAACTTGATAGACTTACTTCTGTCCATCCCAGTCACTTGACTAAGCTTTTAGGTGCAAAAGATAACTAACTCTCCCTAAAAGTCTATGTTGCACATCTTTGATCTGTTTGCTACATGACTCATCCTGGTGGACATGAGATAGTTCTATTTAGATAGTTCTTGCAATTGTTTGTAGTGGATTTAATATCCATCGTAAAACTTCATTGATCATAGTTAACCTCAATCAACAAATAAGAACCCTTGCACAATTTTTGAATAAAAAGGCCAACATGAGCTTCACATACGTCGATATTTTAGAACACAATTCACAATTCAATCTCGAAACCAAAGGATGCCTGTGGATTCTCGCAAGATCCCACATACCCCACAATCCCACCCCGCATTAAACCGTTTATTCAAGATTCTAGTCGTAGTATCGACGTTTTCTGTGGATTTGGTATGTTTCAGATTCTTTCAATGCTCAAATGCGACCTCAAAGATTCCAGAAGCCTCAATGTCGGTATCCATAGACCCCAAGCGCGCGCATGTACTGTACTGCCCTGTCCTGACCCACCAGACCTACACCAACTTGAGGCTGAGTAGACGTGAGCCCTGACATATAGATACACGTTGAAACCCTATCTAGAGAATTAGAAGTCAAAGATCCAATTTAGACGTTCTTTAAGTTTTCTATTTCTCTTTTGTTTTTGTCTTTATTTTCGCATAATTGTAATTTTTTGAGTGCCTTGCATAATCACTAGTCTCTCGTTATTCATCATTGCTTGCAAATTTCACGCTGCTTCACACAAGATTCGGCCAGCCAAAACATGGCAATTCAGAATCTAGATTTGATTCCTCGATTTCCCAAGAGGCGTGAAATACAAAAGCTTTCTGTCAACACCACCGTCACTCTCAATGCCGTCCCAGCTCAATCACCCATCCCACTGCCTAAATCGGCATCAAAGATCATGACTCTCTCCGCCTATACCAGAGATTTATCATTATGGGGGATCCCCCGCTGGCCATTTGAACCAAAAATGGAGCGAATACGCACACTCGTACTGGATCGCTTGGGCTTACGAGATGATAATCCTTGCATAGTATCATTTGAAAACAGGACGGCATTCAAGAAAGTCTACAAGGTTATTGTTTATCAGATGGTAAAGTGGAGAGAAGGTTGGGAAGAGAAGAAAGAGAGGGTTATCATTTGAGCGTTCGATATCCTTTGCAGGAGAGTGACGAGACGCTGAGTGAAGTAGCAACCATGAAGTTTGCGCGAAAGTTAGGGGTTCCCGCCCCCCGAGTAATTGCTTGGGATGCGAATAGAAGGAATAAATTGGGATTCGAGTGGATTTTGATGCGAAAATTGGAGGGAAAATACCTCAAGGATGAATGGGAAGATTTGTCATTTGCTCAAAAGGAGAAAGTGGTGAAAAACATAGCGAAATATCAAGCAAACTATATGCAACTAGTTTCGACGACATTGGAAACCTTTTCGACGCGCAAGACGCAGATGATTACATCACAGACTATAGATACGGTGATTTCAGTACTTCGCATCAAATATCGAGAGAAGTCCGACCCTTTGTTGGGCGGTTAATATCTATTGCTGCGATTAGTGACAGAAATTCGTACTGTTCTTTCCCGGATAGCAGTTCCTATTTAGAAGCACTGTTGGTACCCATATGGAAGGAGTTATCGACAACATTACGAACCTCGACTAATGAACAAGAAATGATCGAAGCACAAAGTCTTCAGAAGCTTGTTCAAAAAGTGCATGCTAAGGTTCTTCAGACATTTCCAGAAACAAGGGTATCCACAGTCCTTGTCCATGACGATTTATCGATGAGAAACATTTTGATTGACGACATGGGAAATATAACAGGCATTCTAGGGTGGGAGAATGCGACGGCCATGCCGACCTGGAAAGCAACTCAATATCCGCAATTCTTGAGTATTGACGAAATACAACAATCAAGTACAGAATATCAAGAGAGCATCCATGAAATGTAGAGGAAAGAGTTGAAGTAGTAAGGACTAAGGCGTCTCTACGATGAGGAGATGGCTAAGAGGGTAGTCGCTTGGAAAGAAGAAATCAGTCGAGGAAAAATCAGGAGAGAGCTTGAATTTGCGTGCAAATTCTGTAGTATTGAAAGCTGCGTAAGGAAATTGATGACTGGGTAAATGCAATCGAAACCAATTTACCCATAGCACTGGTAAAACAATAAGCTAAGGTACGTACATCAATTTCTGACAAAAGGAAATCTTTCAATGAGAAGACTTTGCTATGAAACTCCTGCTTTCTTTTCCTTCGCCATGCTGGTTACAATCTTCATTTCCTCGTCAGAAGGTATATTGACGATCATGAGATATAGCACATCCTATCAATACGTAAGTATAATGCTATCTATTTTTAAAAGTGGACTAGACTAACCTCGTGAAGCTTTCTTTTCGCAGTCTTCAAAATACCAGTTCTCTGAGGTTTGGGATTTTCATCTTTGGGCAGCCTTTCTCTCTCTTCTTCTCTCTTTTCCTGGCAGTTCGCCCTAGATGACCACCGGACAAAACTCCGATGATCCCACCTTGATTTACAGGATGAGAGGGATCTGCCCAGCGTGATGAAGGCACTTGTTGCTCGCCAGCGTTTGTAGCCAATGTCGTTGAAGGATTTTCGGTTGCCTATTGCATAAGTCAAATTGTCATTTCTTATATCATTTTAACAGACCTAAAGTTCAAGATTGAAAAGACGCAAAAACGTACAAATTTAGCCGTGCTCCTCTTGTCTCTCCACTCCCCAAACCAAACTCCTGCTTTTTTCATTGCATTTACTTTTTGTTCATCGGTAGCTGTCTCCAATAATGGAAATATTAATTCTGCACTTTCCGGCATCTGGGACTGTCCAATTGTTCTACCAGAGGTGGAATGGAACCCACTGCGGCCTTGAACTTCACGTGAGGCTACAGATGTGACTAGCTTTGTGTTCATATCAACAGTAGAGACAAGTGGTTGGGAAGCCGTAGAGTTGTTTGATTTCCAGGTCATAAGCATAGCATAGAGTCCATGTGGTTTGAATAGTTTCTCATTCATTCCGACAAGATATTTGTTCTGTCTAGGGAGTAGAATTAGATTCATACCTCCCAGCTTGACAATTAACGGATCTGATGGTACGTACTCTTTAGACATATATGCCCTTCTGCCAAACTCAATGCTGGTGTGCACTGCAAATGCTGTGGCGTGGACAATGATACTTGGTGCTACAGCGAGTCCTTCGGCCATCACACTTGCAGCCACAGCCAAGTTTATCACATGAAAGTATGGAGATGCCTGAACAATTTGTTAGCACTTTTTCTATACATAACGCTGCTTACTGCTACCTAGATAGGTCGTACCTTGATAGATGCTTCAAATCCCACCAGAAAATCCATGAATGTATCTTGATCTATACCACAATCTATCAAGACTGGTGCATAAGCTCTTACGAATCCTCGATGTTTAGACCCAGGTCTTCGTTCAGGTATAATTATTGGAACAGGCAGTCCTTGCTTTATATTTGGCCGAGTTGACGAGGATATGCCAGGGTGTTGTTTTCCAAAGTCTCCAAGTATTTGCTTAACACTCTCGGGTTCATCTACTATCTCCTGATCGTATGGAGATAGTTCGGCCTGCGTATCGTCTCTAACCCAGTCTCCTTCGTCATCTTCATCATAACTTTCGTATTCATGAGCATCGAAGGCGGTTGTAAAGCTATTATGTTCAATGGTCGGGGACTCTGAAGCCTCTGGGGTTTTTGCTCTTTGGACATTTCCTTTCTTTCGCTCTCCCCTGCACTAACTTTCTTTTCTTTGAAGGAGGCATATGCGTCAGTGCCGAACCCAATGATTCCACTAACGGCATCTCTTATAGGCCGTCAATCATGACTTGTTTGATCGCTATTGCAGTGAGTGCGGACAGTGTGATGGTTTTTGGGTAACACATTCGAGTGGAAGAGTGAGAATAAAGAACACATCCGAGCATTCTCTATCGTTATAACCCCGCATTCCTCGCGTTTCCAGCGCAACAGATTTATAAAGCTACAGGAATGCAACACATAACGCATTTAGTTGATATAACTTCATTCCAAGGAGCCCACCTGTATATCTCTTTCAGACGCAGCAAAGTACTAACTGGACTATACACAAATCAAGGGAGAACAGCATCTGTGCAACACTTGGAGCGCTTCTCCTCGAAACTTTTTTCTTGTGAACCATACGTCAGGGCTAAATGAATTGAATTGTAAGATTACAAATGAAGAGTTAATTGTGGATTACACCTGGTAAAGGTGATAGTAGGACAATGCTTATAAAAAGAGGAATAACTTCTAATCCGTGCGACCGTGGGCCTGAATGCCCTACGAAATGATATGTAAACCTGGAATGTTATGTCGCTTTTTATGGTAGGCAGTGTATTTGGTCACCCCAAGTCAACCGAGACCGCCAACAAGCAATATTAAATCACACGGTGTGTTTTTGGGGACAGGTATCTAATAACAAAATTCAACGTTTTAATACCTACCTAGGTACATATCGTGCGTACGTACTATTTAGCCTCATATCGCAGTATCTCACTATCTAGGTACCAATCGTAACTTTTATCACAGATCACTAATCATCCACTCATGATTGTTAATACCCGGAACTAATCATTTGATTGGTCTATAGAGTGTTTGACTCGATAATTAGGGCTCTGTGCTACCCGATACACGCTTTCAATATGCAATCTGCTAACATCACAATATGCACTGAACAGTCGGATTCTGCATGTATTTGTCACAAAAAGACTCCCTAGATCACTCATTCACTCTGAGTTTTTCAAATCATTATTACAAATTTCACACCACTTTATGACGGGTACTATTTGATCGATTAAATAGAATTACTATGTACATTATCCACCTTATGAGCCTCCTCCATACAACATGATGGATGTTATTATACAAAGGTTGATTGTTCATCCATAAATTATCCAAATCATTTATTTGGCCACGACAACTTGGACACTATCTCTTAAAGACTCGGTATAAGTATAGGTCTTCAATACCTTGAGACCAGCTGAGTCTAAGGACCTTCTCCCATTGACTTTGAGTACGCTCCATTGCCGACAAAGCTGCCATCATAGTGAAATCAATGTTCATGGCCTGGAAATTGGTGCCACTGTTGGGAAGAACTATTTCATCAATCAAGATCGCAGAATTTGGGCCCATTGCCTCACGGAGATGGTCCAAAATGATCTTGCACTTGTCATCTGGCCAGTCATGCAAGATCTATATTGCGAAAGGTTAGTCATCTTATTCCGGCGTACTCTGCATGGAGAATATCACTTACGTTGCGCATGTAGTAGAATCTGGCATCTAGTTTCAGAGTCAGTATGGTGCAATCGATGAGATTCTTGCATTATTGAAGTACGTACTCTTAATTTGTTGGGGTGTGAAGAAATCTTGTGGTAAAGCTTTTACCCCATCGATGGATAAAGCATGCTTCAAAGTTATTGGAAGATCCTCAAGAATAACCTCGCCCTTGAGGGCAGGGAATCTAGTCTTGAGTTCTAAGCATTTATGACCAATTCCACCACCGACGTCAACAAACATGACTTGGGCTGGGTCGAGGTCCTTGACATATTCCTCGAAAGGGAACAAGTCTAACCAGACATCCATTCCTTCTCTCTGAGCAGTCATCACTCCATGAAGAAGCCGAGTTTCTCTGGATTTTGCTGGAACCATTCGAACAATGGGAGATCTGTGCGGTGTCCCATGTGAAATGGTGAGTATGATGCATCAGCAGGGTTCTTGTATCCGGTAGCCTTGAAGAACTCTGGGAGGACTTGAAATGCTGGACCAACGCTATCGAAGCTAGAGACGGATTGTCTTAATATATGTATCTTTGATTGCGATGATGTACTTACGTGTGGTTCATTCCAGCTTTAAGGCCAGGTTTGGCAAGTGCTTTTGTGATATTGTCTGCGATAAAGGTCTCTTCTCCGACCTCTGTTACGATATCTGTTGATGCCAAGAACCTCAAAATTCGACCTACAGTAGTTAGAGGCCTGGTCAACATCTTTAATGGGTAGGAACATACTTAAAAGTAAAGGGTCACATTTGGTTTTCTCTGCTAATTCTGTCGTAGTCATGGGACCGTCGTTATCGGCTAAAATCTTGAAGAGATCGAGATCATTACCAGCACGGCAAAGTGCGGGTTGAATTGCCTTAAAATGGAACGCATAAGCAAGTGGCTATATGAATATCATACGTCAAGCATGGACACGTACGAGGTAGATAAGACGCTGAATAGTTTCGCCAGAAGTCTCAAGGGACACAGCCGTCTTTCGAAGTTGATTAATGAGATTCTTGCGCGTGTTTTCATCAGCAACCTTGGCTGCCTCTGTGATTCTAGAAAGCGCAAGTTCGAGATCTCCAACGGAACCCATCTTGAAATTTTGTTTTAAAGAAATGTCACGGAAGAATTGAGTTTGGAGAGGTACAACGGTTGTATCTAAAAGGAAGATATTCAGAACGTCAATGACAACTTGAATGCAGTCCTCGGGACTTACATATATATACTAAATAAACGGCCAACGGTTGGGAGGCGAGGTATTGGCTCGGATTGGAAATATTCAGCAATCTCGTACTCCGTACCGAATAAGCAACACAAGCGTCGACGTTGACAGCCCCTCTCAGAGCCTCGCCTGCTCACCAATTTTGGACCCCACGGACTTGATAGGCAAGAAATGCCATCGCCGGCTTAGTGGGGAGAATTGAGTTCGTGCAACATAGGCCTATCTACAGTCCCAATACCGCCGGAATCAATCTCTTTCTTGGTCGTATCTTTCAGATGGTATCACGCCGCATGACAGCATACAGCCCTTGTTCCAGATCAATCGTGAACTACGACGTCCGCCATCAAGGCATCCATGTCACCGCTAGCAAGACCGGTATATGAAATCCCATATCACAGCTTGCAGACACGAGATCTTCTTGTAATCTCCGTTTCTATATTATTTGTCACATGCCTGGGCGGCAAGCCATTTGATGATACCTTTGATAAGCATAAAAATCAAAGATCGGCGACCTCACCCTTAACGATGTTCATATCTAATCTTTGATATTTGAACATCATAGAGCTAGGTACGGAGTTGAAGCGTGGGGTAAAAGACGGGGCCTCGGCCCTGGGACAGGGGCTAAATTGAAAATCGCCCATTTTTCCAAGTGTCGTCCCAAATTAAAATATTCAAGGGTATAATGACCTATGATATTGCATCAATTAAGCATGCTTAACCATGAAGCTGGTACTGGGGGGTACCGGGGACGTATCTATTTTGCTTCTTTGGATCCAATAGTACACCTCTACGTTGTAACCTTCGCTCGTGTGAAATCCTATGAGGGTTACAACAAGAGGATGGTGAGCAATCACAGAATACGTATGTCAGCTTATTTTGCTGTAAATTCATCCAATAAGGGAAGTTGAAGCCCTTTCCTCTCAATGATTATGGAAGCTTAGACTACTTCAGGATTTCTTTTCGAAGTTTGTCATTATCAAGCATAAGCAGGTCTCGGCGATCCTTCCAACTGCGGTAGTTTACACCTCGTTAGACGTTTAATCTTATAATAGCATTTTGGTTTTGCTGCAGTTCAGAAAAGTCTGGAATATTCAAGGCACGTTGCAAAGTTGCAGTCGGAAGTTCCCATTCCACTTTTTATTTGATTTTATTAATTCAATGTCACTCCACTGTGTGACAGTGTGATAGTCTATCGATGAGAGGGTTGCAAGGCCACGTTTCGATCGTCGAGGCACATACTGGGGATACTGGGGTAGAACGGCGTAGAACTTTATGTCAATCACCTCGCAATAATTTTGTGAGGTGATATATTGATCATTTCAGCATAGCGCTCTACCAGCAGGCAACACATTATAAGTTGTGGGCTTAAATGTGCGTTACGGCTTATTGATATATTGGCGGTCAGCCCCATAGCATTTACGACAGGTCTTATGCGAGCAGTATTAAGCGCTACACATCAATCACTATCTTCAGGTGTGAATGCCATCTTTTGTGAAGCGGGACAAGAGTACCACTGAGCGCTTCTATATTAAAGTGGCGAAGAGAATAAATTACGATGTACTATCGTCTATGTGTGTTCAGAATGAGGGGTACTTCTCTCTCCGCACAATCCACTTTCGACTTTATGGCTTAATAGAGTGGGATATACACATTCACTGTTCGGTATCTGCTCCGTGTCGGTGTACCCGAAATCTCAGGAATGCCACCTGCTGATTTCTGTCCAGGAGATATCCTCAATGGTGATATTCTCAGCACGGATGAGCCCAGAGAATATCTTTCTTATGCTGCATACCATTCTCTGTAAGTATCGCTCTAGCCGCGGAGTTGGACAGCCACTCCTGGTAAACTGACCGGGTACTCGTAATAATAGGCGCAGTTTCTGTCTATGTCGAGCGATTGGGTGGCGCATCGACTGTGCCATTGTTGTAACCCGAGCCTAGTTGTCAGATCTCCTCGCCCCATCTTCCTTCGTGAATGAATACTACATTGGGACACGTGGACAGCTCGGCATGGCATGGCAACAATCACATGTCCAGGCCCAATTCTCCCAGTTTTGATACACGCACAAGTTTTATGTTTGGTTTTGCTAATGTGCTGAATTTGTGTGAAAGAGGATCGAAGGAACAGTACAATTTCCTCAATTTGTGCTATTCTCATACATAATCACACCAGCTATGCTTACACATCACATAGATAGACATTGATTTCCACAAACTGTGATCATTGACTTGTTTGACTGATCCGATCTTGGGGAAAAGTTTTATCTACTTTCCAGCGATTCGGCACTCACGGCTTCAAGATAGCTAACTCGACAATGGAGGCCCCAGCTGGAGGAGATGTCGATAGAGGACCAACTATCATGGCAATTATGTGGGCGCAAGCTGCTATTTCTTGCATTGTGGTTGCTTTGAGGTTTTGGGCCAGAATTACGATCAAAGCGCTCGGGAAAGATGATTGGATTATGCTTTGTACTTTGATCAAGTATGTATTGGTATTGGTACCCAATAAATCATGGCAATTGTTAACCATGATTCTGCTAGTTTTCTCGTTTTCTGTGGGTTTGTCACCGTCCAGGCTCTACACGGCGGCGATAGGCATCTGTATTACATTCCTCTCGCAGAGCAAGAATTCGCGATCAAAATGACCTGGTTACTGCAGCCCTTTGTTATTCTAGCAATTTGCCTGGGAAAAGTATCGGTTGCTTTCTTGATAATGAGACTCCTTTCGCCCACTCCGAAATGGCCAAAGCCATTCCTTTGGTTTTGCATCATTTCGTGCCTCGTCTTCGTTTTCGTGGATATTGTTTTGACATACGTTCAATGTACACCTGCAAAGGCGCTTTGGTATCCAACCGTCCCACATACCTGCTGGGAGCCAAAAGTTCAATCGGATTTCGCGATCTTCTGTGCTACCTGGCTTGTTTTCATCGATGCGCTTCTTGCCGTTTCTCCCATATTGTTCTTTGGGAGGTTGAAAATGAGCTTGAGGAAAAAGATTGGAATCTGTGCACTCCTGGGAGGAGGTATTATGTATGTGACCTGCTACGGTCCTCACTTCATTGGGAAAGTCCCGGCTAACCACATTAATTTTAGAGCTGCGATTTGCGGATCAATAAAGATATCTTATTTGACAGAACTCAGTGCTCGAGCAGATATCACCTGTAAGGCTTCCATACTACAAGTAAACGCAAAAGCCGAGAATTCTAACATTGATATAGGGGCAACGTACGATTTGTTCGTTTGGAGTGGTGCTGAGGCATTTATCCTGATAGTCTGTGGAAGCATACCACCGTTGAAAATTCTTTGGGATCGTTACATCTCAAAGAAGACCGGCCAGACAAAGACGTCGAGTTCGTCGTATATACAGTTTAGTAGCGGGAGATCTAGAGCCACAGCCCATCAATATGACGGAGTGACCTACGACATGAAGCCATTGGCTTCACCGTTACCTGGGAGAGAAGTAGATTTGGAAGACCAGAGGACATCGACAATACAGGAACACAGTGACTCTCTATCAATTGGAGATAGAGAAAGACCGCATTCCGTAGGAATAGGCAGGTGACTGATTGTATATGTATTTTGGCGATGGAAGGGAATCTTTACCCTTTGAATGTATGATATGTAGTTATGAGAACCGCAGAAGCAATGATACCCCAATGTATATGATTGAACAAAAGATCTACAGAATCTGCGGCCCCAATTGGTCTACCCGTACATGGTTTACTTTTACCTCAACTCCGCGTTGTAATCATGTATACTCTATAATAATTCACCAAAAGCCGTTCATTACGCAATTCAGTAACGATGCTACGAGCCCATGCTCACCAAAGACTTGGGTATCCGGGATTCTTCCAATTAAACGAGTACGGAGTACATAAAATACCAAGACCAACACGTCCACCAACACGCTCTGACAGTGTAAGGCTTCTTATCACCAACCCCGCTCTGTCTTTGGGGAGATCAGCTCCAGTAAGATTCACTAAGGGAGCGGAGTATTCAACCAGGAAGATAGAAGATATTTCCCCCTGGAAGAAAACCCGAGTGCTGTGCCCCATAATCTAACTGTGATGAATTTGTCAAAGTTTATGAGGCCAAATACTAGATAGGTGGGTGAGCATACATACATATAGTATGTCGAATTTTCCATTTGATACTTTCGTGGTTTGTATTTTTTTTTTTCCTTGCATTCAACAGGAACATCTAATCCTATCACCGGTCGACATAGGTGAATAGGGAGCATCTGCTAGGCCTCGACATATTACACTAATAGCCTGACCTGGACACAACAATCGCACGGACTGGTCAATTAACACCGATAATCGCCTCAGAATATACCCACCACTGACTGGATTGTTGAGGGGTCAATGACAAGCTATTTCTAAGACTCTCCTGCTCGATTATCGATCACGGTGTTACACTACCGCTAATTTGATTTCAACAATACCATATCACTAGTGAGCATGAATCTTCAACATTCAACGCTAGTCTTTGGGCCACAGACGAATTCCTTTGACGCGGCCCATCTCTCCGCAGTTAGAAACTCTTTAGTCTCTAACAAACGCCTAAAGCCATTTTACAAGGCCATTGCGGGGCTTTCCGACTTCTTGCCAACACTACTCGCTCATGATTCTTCTCTGCAGAAACTACCTGCAGTAGAATACTGCACCTTCCTGATTCGATGGCTTGAGAACGGTTCATCAGCAGGAGAGCCAATGAATCAGGATTTACCGAACATGGTTTGCACGCCCCTCACGGTCATCATCCACGTTGTGCAGTTTTTCAATTATCTCGAGACCCACTATGGGCCTATTCACGCATATGATAATTTCCTTGCATCTGCGACTCCGGCCCAGGGGTTCTGTATCGGGTTTCTGACCGCAGCCGCTGTGACTTGTGCTTCGGATGAGGACACTTTGGTCAAACTGTGCTCAAATGCCTTGCGACTTGCTCTTTGCATAGGTGCTTATGTTGATCTAGACCAGTCGAATGCGGGGGATGGTCTGACAACGGCTGTCATGGTTTCTTGGAGTGAGAAGAATAAACCCGTTTGCGATGTTTATGAGTTCTTGAAGGATTTTCCAGAAGTAAGTCGTCTTTCAAGCGCACAATTATGTGGCGAGTGTCACAAAGCCACATTGATACCGTGAAATTCTCCACGTGAAATTCTCGGGGTCACCTAAGGTTGTATGCTAATTTCTGGTGGCTGTGCTTAGGCTTATATTTCTGTTATCTCCGACAAAACCAAAATCACGATAACACTTCCCCAGAAACTTCGTGATTCCATATCAAAAGCCTTGCTCGATCAAGGGTATAGTGTAATACCATTGGTTGTCTTTGGTCGTTTTCATTCATCTGTTCAGACAAATGCCTGTCAGAAAGTCATTCAACTATGTGCATCAACGGAATCTTTACAATTCCCCCAAGCAGAAAGTCTTCGGACCGCTTTGAGAACAGATGAGGATGGACAAGAAATACGTGAAGGACCACTTCATGAAATAGCGCTGGTTTCATTGCTTTCAAGGCAATCGAAATGGTATGCGACCATTGCAAACACAGTTGCTCAATTGGATGCAAGTCAAAAGAGGCATGTACTTCAAGTAGGGTTTGTCGATTGCATTCCAAGTCGGCTTGTTCGTGAATTTAACCTCAAAGTCGTAAAGCTTAGCAAGTTCCTTCCCAATGATGGATCCCATACCACTGCCACTCCTTTACAAGAAGCCATTTTGCAATCTTGTCCATCAAAAGAGCATGTCTATCCCAAACACTCAATTGCAGTGGTTGGGTACTCATGCAAATTTCCTGGAGCAAATTCGCCCGAAGAGTTTTGGGATATCTTGACTGAAGGCAAGTCATTACTTCGAACGATACCAAATGGCAGATTCCCTACCGAATGTCTGAGGAGGTCTTCGAAACAGCCATTCTATGGCAATTTCGTGGATGATATTGATGCATTTGATCATAGGTTTTTCCAGAAATCTCCTCGAGAAGCGGCGTCCATGGATCCACAACAAAGATTCTTACTTGAATGTTCCTATAACGCTCTCTCATCCAGTGGATATTTTGGCCGGCAATCGATGTCTAAAAGCAAAGGAGGCAATGAGCGAAATGATGTTGGATGTTTTTTCGGAGTTTGCGGTTCCGACTACAACGATAATATTGCTTCACATCCATCAAATGCATTCTCATCTTTGGGTAGTTTACGAGCATTTCTCAGTGGAAAAGTCAGTCATTTCTTTGGTTTTACAGGGCCTTCAGTGATCTACGACACAGCTTGCTCTTCTTCAGCTGTTGCAATCGACGCCGCATGTAAATCTCTGCAGGCTGGAGACTGTTCATCGGCTCTGGCAGGAGGTGTTTCCCTATACACTAGTCCTTACTTTTACGAAAACTTGGGGGCAGCGTCATTCTTGAGTCCGACCGGCGCTACAAAGCCGTTCGATGCGGGAGCCGATGGATATTGTAGAGGAGAAGGTGTAGGAATCGTTGTTTTGAAACGATTGGAGAATGCGATCGCAGACGGCGACCCTATATTAGGAGTTATTGCTGGATCTGCTGTTAATCAGAGTATGAATTCAACGAGTATTACGGTGCCAAATTTGGAATCTCAGTCGATGTTGTTCGAAAAGGTTGCGGCACTTGCAGGCTCCAGTCCATCGGAATTTACATATGTCGAAGCTCATGGGACAGGAACCCCTATCGGGTAGGTTTATTTCTTCTTCTTCAATAATCTTGGAAGTCCATATCTTCTACAATATTGCTAGGCTTGATGATTCAGGAGCTGACTCAATGCAGAGATCCAATAGAAATAAATGCAATCCGCAAAGTATTTGGCGGGGCACACCGATCTATACCATTACATGTAGCATCGGTGAAAGGTAATATTGGTCATCTGGAAGGCGCCTCGGGTGTTGCGTCATTGATTAAGGTCCTTCTAATGATGAAGCACAAATCGATACCAAAACAAGCGAACCATTTGTCTTTAAACCCCAAGATAAGAGCTTTGGAACCAGACAAGATGAAAATCCCGCTCCAGACAACACCATGGGAAGCTGATCTCCGTATCGCCAGCATCAACAACTACGGTGCATCTGGGAGCAATGCATCTATAGCCGTGGTTGAACCACCGTCCCAAGTTCTCGAGTCTCGTCATATTAACGGCCCAGAGAGTTCGCCTATGGCAGCTAAATATCCTATCAGAGTATCTGCAAATTCTGCTGGAAGTTTGGCGGCCTATTGCGATCGTCTGAAAACCCAAGTTTCCCAACTCTGTCAAAACTCTATTGCTTTGCGTGATCTTTCTTATGGTCTAGCAGAAACTCAGAATTGGAATTTCTCCAATGTTTTCATGGCGGCAGTCTCAGACCTTAGCGAACTAGACAATGCGCTGATAAACAGTGCGGAAGGCTACTTCACCACCCCCCAGAAAGTCAAGCCAGTAATATTGTGCTTCGGTGGACAAACAAGTGCTACAGCTTCCGTGGATCGGAATCTATACAATCAATCGACACTCTTCAGTCGTCATATTAATGATTGCGATGAGGTTCTGCGGTCCTTGGGAAAGAAATCCATATTCCCTAGCATCTTCGACTCCAGTCCTGATTCTAGCACAGTCAATCTTCACTCCAAATTGTTTGTCCTGCAATATAGCGCTGCTAAGACGTGGCTAGATTCCGGTATCCAAGTTAGCTCGATGATCGGCCACAGTTTTGGACAATTGACAGCGTTTACAGTTGCAGGATCTCTCTCTCTGGAAGATGGATTGAAGCTTGTTGTTGGTCGTGCCGAATTGGTTGAGAGGTTGTGGGGCCATGATAATGGTTCTATGCTAGCTGTCGAAACAGATCAAGATACTCTGGATAAGCTTGTTGACTTGACGAGAAAGAAAGGGCCCGCATTTGAAGTCGAAGTTGCTTGTTACAACGGCGCGACAAGCTTTGTATTGGTCGGTACCCATCTCGCCATTGCGAAGGTCGAAGAAACCCTTAAGAACAACGCAGTGGAGTTTTCGTCACTCAAAGCAAGGAAATTGGATGTTACCCACGGGTATCACTCCTCATTAACCGATGTTATTTTACCTGAGTACATGGAAATTGTGAAAGGTTTAAAGTTCAGCGAACCCAAGATTCACGTTGAAACATGCTCTGAAAATGAAGCATGGTTAATTCCTAGTCCCGAGCTGGTAGTTGAACACACGAGAACAGGAGTCTACTTTGGCAATGCAGTTGAGCGTATCAATCAAAAATTTGGTCCTTGCACATGGCTAGATGTTGGTTCTGGATCAGCCATCACCAAAATGGCTAGGAGAGCACTCAAGTCGGGAACATCTACTGTTCAATTGCATCAGTTCTTGGATATCAAACTAGACAACGAAAGAGTCATAGATCAATTGGCCAATACGACACTTGAACTTTGGAAAGCTGGGAGTAAAGCCCACTTTTGGCTTCATCATCGCTGCGAGAAAGATAGCTACAAAAGAATTGATTTGCCTCCTTATCAATTTGAGAAGGCACGTCATTGGTTGGAATGGAAAGAGCTTCAGACCGCCGCGCCTCTACCGTCAACACCAAAAGAATCTTCTATTAAACGGCCGAATTCCATGCTATCATTTGTGAAATTCCATGACAAAGATAGGAGTCATGCTGAGTTTCGTATTAATGTACACGAGCAAGGATACCAAAAATGTATCACCGGTCATGCAGTTCTTGGGCAACCACTTTGTCCTACCCCTCTCTACATGGAACTTGCATCCTCTGCGATTATGATTCTTGAAAACTACAAGTTACATCAAGACACACCTATAGTTCCTCGAATACAAGACCTTGAGATCAAAGCCCCCTTGGGCAAAGCACTTGATAAATCAGTGGCCTTGAATCTCAGATCAGATGGCGAGTCTTGGCTATTCGAGTTTTCAAGTCAGAGTCCGAAAACAAAGAGAAATTCATCTCAGCCAGTGATACATGCTACTGGTAAGATAGTGCTGCGAGATCGTTTCCCACTAAGCACTTCACGAACGGAAAGATTAATACCACAAACTCGCCTCACGACTATTCAATCAGATTCCAAGGCGAGAAGCCTTCAAGGAACGCAGATATACGACAGGTTTTCTCGGGCAGTAACATATTCCGAAATGTATAAAGGTGTAAGGGATGTCCATGCAAGGGAGCACGAGATTGTCGGAAAGATTGTACTACCAAAAGAGAGTCAGCTCTCAGGCTTAGGACGCAAGACTGTAATTGACTCAATCGCGTTGGACAACTTCATTCAAATAGCCGGTCTCCACGTCAATTGTCTTATTCCCATCAATGACAATGAAGTCAATGTCTGCGTAAAGATATCTGATCTTGAATTTCATAAAGAATTGGATACGTCAGATAGTCAATCCGGATGGATGGTCTTTTCAACCTATTCGAAAACTGGATCAAGAGAAGTAGAGAATGATATCTATGTCTTCGACTCACAAAGTCATAAGCTGGTTTTAACAATTTTTGGCGCCATTTTCATGCGAGTTAATATCAATTTTTTGACCAAGACACTATCTAAAGCAAATTCTCGCAGTACTATTGCCATTAATGAACCTCAGATCACATTTAATGATTTTGAGGTAGAAAAATTGACAGTCTCGACAACTATGGAAGATGAAGGCTACACTACGACAATTCACTCCGAGGAAGAAGATAACGAAGAAATATCACCACTACTAGCAGGTCCCAATCCAATTTCCCGGCTGGAGAAATTATTGATCGAGCACTTAGATCTCCCCGAGGGTAGTGTGAGGCCAGAAATGAATCTGGTAGATGAAGGACTAGATTCTTTGTTAGCTATCGAGCTTGGTAACGATATCGGCAAAATGTTCGGTGTCAGAAATATCGCACTGGATGAATTTCAAACTTTTGGAGAGCTTTGTATTGCTGTATTTGGAAAAAATACAAAGCCTGTCAAGACGCATATCAAAAATAAGAATATTGATGCCAATGCTCTCACTTCTAGTCTGAAGAAGATCGAGGAGCATTTTTTCATTGAGAAATCTGCAAGCGAAACCCTGGTGCCGGACGATCCATCTTTCCTAAAAGGATCGCAGTTGGTATTTGAAAAAGTTCGCCGTGAGTTCGACACGTTTGCGAAAGAGACAGGTTTCAATGGCTTTTGGGAGAATGTTTATCCCTCGCAAAAGAAGCTCGTCCTATCTTATGTTGTGGAGGCCTTTGTCAAGCTCGGGTGTCTCATTCCCTCGTTAATTGCCGGTGAGGTTCTCCCGTCGATCGAATTCCTACCAAAACATCAGAAATTGGTGTCGCAGTTGTACAATATATTGGAAGATGGCAACTTGATAAAGAGTGGTGAAGGAAGATTTCTGCGAACGAATGTTCCGGTCGATACCCCTTCATCTTCTAAATTGTATCAGGAAATTTTGGTAGAAGCGCCACTCTTTCACCTTGAACACCGTGTTCTCCACATCACCGGCTCCAATCTTGCAGACTGTCTTACAGGTAAAGCAGATCCCGTACAGCTCCTCTTTGGGAAAAGAGAAAACAAAGCGCTCTTGGAAGAATGGTACGCCACCGCTCCAGCTCCAGCGGCCATCACAGCCCACCTCACGCACTTTCTTCACCAAGCTCTGTCCGCCCATTCCGGAATCGTTAAAATTCTTGAAATCGGCGGAGGAACTGGAGGAACAACAAAACACATGATAGATTTTCTCACTTCCAATAACATTCCCTTCGAATACACATTCTCCGACATCTCCCCCATGTTCGTTAATGCCGCCAAGAAAAGGTTTGCCGAATATCCAAACGTCACCGTTACAACTTTAGATATCGAAAAGCCAGTCTCTGAAAATATGCAGAAAAAGTTTCACATAGTGTTATCAACAAACTGTATCCATGCAACCAAAAACATCTCCAATTCTACAGCACATATTCGCGATATGCTCCTGCCCAACGGCTTTTGTTCACTAGTCGAATTCACCCGTAATATGTTTTGGTTTGATTTGGTGTTTGGACTATTAGATGGCTGGTGGTTTTTCGAAGACGGACGATCCCACGTTTTGGCCGATGAATGGTTTTGGGAATCGAGTATGAAAACAGCTGGATTTGGACATGTTTCGTGGACACACAATTCTAGTGCTGAATCGCGGACTGTCAGGATTATTACAGGGTTTCTTGAGGCTCCCGAGAGTACGAGCGTTGTTCCCAAGAGACAGAGGGAAAGTTTCAAGTATGAAAAGCTAGAGTATAAGATGGTTGGAGAATGTCGACTTTTTGCGGATGTTTATTATGATTCTTGTACTGCGAATAATGAAATTGAGAGACCTGTTGGTAAGTGCTACACAGAATGATAAATATGACGGTTAGAATAGCATGCTGACAGATTTCAGCACTTATGATCCATGGTGGAGGTCATACCTTATACAGCCGAAAAGATATAAATCCAAAGCACATTCGACTGCTTCAAGACAAGGGATTTATCCCAGTCAGCATTGACTATCGGTTTATACCCGAGGTATCACTCCGCGAAGGAGCCATGTCCGATGTTTGTGATGCACTAGCATGGGCCCGAAATACTTTACCATCCATCGTTCTAAAAAATTGCCCTCAGCAAAGGGTAGACGGTAGTAGAGTAGTTGTACTTGGATGGTCCACCGGCGGTACACTCGCCATGTCCAGCGCCTTTACATCTCTCGAACAAGGGACTCAACCACCCGAAGCTATTTTAGCGTTTTACTGTCCCACAAATTATGACGATGAATGTAAGTTTATCTTCGGTTTCCCAAGACGTATAACTGTTCTAATTTTTTGAACTAGGGTGGAAAACTCCCATTTTCCCAAAAATGTCCATCTCCGATCCATCCACACCTTATAATCTTCTCGAGGGCGTACAGAATACTCCCGTAACAAGTTATACGCCCACAACCAGCACTGGTGCTTCGACTCAATTGTTCTCTCTACAGGATCCGCGCACCCGCTTTATTTTACATATGAACTGGCGCGCGCAAGCATTACCGATCTTAATCAACGGCCTCCCATCGCTTTCCACCTCTCACACAATCTCTTCCTCTCCCTCCACCTCCTACGACAACCTCCCCATGCCCTCACCCAGCCAAATCGCCCGCATATCACCTTACTCATACATCGTCTCTTCACACTACAAGACCCCCACATTCTTGATTCATGGTACAGAAGACGATTTAATTCCTTGGCAACAAAGCCAGAAAACGTATGAGGCGCTAAAAGAAAGGGGGGTTGAGGCAGGCATTGAGGTTCTGGAGGGATCAGGACATCTCTTTGATTTGACTAGGGATAGAGGTGGCGATGAGGGGGTAAGAGCGGTAGAGAGAGGAATGGAGTTTTTGAAGAGATTCGTGTAAGGGTTTTAAATGGGATAAGGGGGCGTATTGAGAGGAAGCCTGGGGGCTGGAACTGAATGAATTAAAATAAATTTGGTGGCGGTGTTGTTTGTTTTTGATAGTGACCGCAGGCGGTCTGACTTTGATGACTTGATTTAGCTGCTGTTAATTTCCTAATTGTACATATCGAATACTATCTTCCATCCATAATAAATGGTTCTCTATACCGTCGGCCATATAGATCAATTGTCTCATTTTGCGTTTTTCGACTTTTCGACTTTTCGACTCTTCGACTTTTTCATTTTCTTTATTCTTTTTGAAACTTTTAAATGTTAATATTTATTTGATCTATCGAATTAATTAGAAAAAGATTGAAAAGATTGAAAAGATTGAAAAAATTGAAAAAATTGAAAAAATTGAAAAAATTGAAAAAATTGAAAAAATTGAAAAATTGAAAAATTGAAAAAATTGAAAAATTGAAAAAATTGAAAAAATTGAAAAAATTGAAAAATTGAAAAAATTGAAAAAATTGAAGAAAAGTGAAAAAATAAAAGTAAAATAAGTAATTTATATATATCTATTTTTTCAATTTTTTCAATAATAATTTTATTATATTAAATATAATCTTTTTTTATTTAATTAAAGAAATCTTAATAATATTTATATTATAAATTAAATTAAATAAATATTAATATTAAAAAGAAAGTCGAAAAATCGAAAAATGAAAATGAGACAATTCATCTATATAGCCGACGGTATCTCTACCTTTTATGATCAAATATTCACGTATATTTTAAAACTCCTAAGCGTTACTCAAAGGATTGCCAGACTTTCTAAAATCAAGAAGACGCAGACTTTAAAATAATTCAAACTGTACCGTCGTGATATCATCGCCAGTGAGAGTATAAGCATAACACCATGGTAATTCTTTCAGATTCTTTGACAAAAGATGCTGTCTGGGTGATAAGTGTTTACACCTATTGTTCGATCACTCATTGAGGAGCAGCTTCAATAAGTATCCAGCTATTTTAGATATTATGCCTTGATATTACCATCGATGGAGACCTAGGTAGTGTAAGGCTGAAAAGGCAGTTGAGATGAACCAATATACTTACCTGTCAATACCTACAAGACTGGTTACTAATGAATACCGAGCAATCTGATTGAATACTCGTAGAGCACCTTGGCTCAGATTTCGGACATTCGGATATGCAACGAAAATTAACTACTCCGAGATTCATTTCAGTACCCACTCCGCTGTCCACTCATGCTATCTTCAAGTTTGAGATGTTAAATGAATTTTGCTGTACAGTACGGTATGGGATGAGAGCGGGATGATAAGAGAGATCTTGGATAGACAATCACCCAGAATGTAACTTCGAAGTGGCAGAAGAAGAGACAAGGTCGTAATCCTAATTAGATCCAAATTCGCTTGTCATGAGCTAAGGAACGCCAACTATTTCCACACTCACGCTTTGAGAGCTCAGAACTAAATCCACGTGAACTTCACGTGACTATAATTGTCTAGAATCGATCCTGTGAAAATCTGTACGAAGTACCTCACATCGTGGAGAATAAAGAGCTAGTAAAAGTTTTGAATAAAATACCTGGTAAGAAGAAGAGAGAAGCTCCGGATTATAAATAGATTCGTTTCGCGCATAGTACTCTCATGCAAAGTTGGTATCGCATCCGACCAACGAAGAATAGAACATGGAATTGCAGCCTATTGATAGAGATATCTTCCGAGATGAGGTAGGCGTCCCATGGCAATGTTATTGAATAGAGTTTGTTACCATGAGCGGACATTGATACCATTGACAGAATGTTTTAGACACCTGCCAAACTTCAGAGTCCAAAATCGTTCAATGATCCGCGAAATTGAGTTTAGTAATTCAATAGATAAATATTTTCGTATCCAAGTCGACAAGGAATTCTATCAATCGTCAAGATTATATTATCAGGGAGAGATATGCCCATTCGAGTATGTTGAACCTTGGTTAAATAGAATCTAAAGTAATGTCTCACTTGCCCTATCTATGCCAGGAGGGTTTGTAGATAGCGATATCAGTATCAATATTACGCCCCTGAGCAGTCCCATAATGGGGGTGTTATCTGTACGGAGTACACGCCAGCCAGCCTGGTGTCAATGCTCTAGTACCTGGGGACACGTGGAAATACTCCAGATATGGTAGTGTAAGGCTAGATCCGTTTGCAATTAGGGGAAGTGAATGAAGAATTTCCTAGATATGGATTGAATATCAGAGATCTATCTGAGGAGTCTCAAATGTTTCTTTGAAATTCCGAAGCTGTGAAGGCTCAATGCGAGGAATCACCGAAAGATTCTGTCTGTTACTATAATTGTTATGCACAATGTAAAATGTCCTCTTTTCTCTCCCCTCTCGTTCTGATCCACTACCGGGATGCCTATTCCAGTAATACTCATCGTGATAAGAATAACTCCGCATGTAGGTATTCACAATACTGGAGTAAAATGATAATGCCAACCTTACAATGGGGTGCTCCAGTGTGAAAACTAATCTGGTGTGGATTGATCTTGCAGTTTCCAAGACGCGGTAATGAGGACAAGAATCACAAGACTCGCCAGAGAAATCAAGAAAAAGAAGCTCAGAAACAAGAGATTAGACCAAGTTTCAAAAATATGAGGAAAATGTACAAGGGACGAAATTTTGATGGGGACGAAAGCACGTTAGTCGCTTCTCGTACTGTAATTGCCTTATTACGGGTGGTTGGAACATGGTTGACACTTGACAGAGAGAGAGAAAGGTAGACGGACAAACTAAATCTGAGTAGATGGAAAATCAAGAGCAGAAGCTGCACAGCCAATGAAACACATGCTTTGACATATCAGGAATTCCACTGTGAACCCCACCGCAATTCCATTGTAACATCACCTCCACACCACTGTAACTACAACTAAAATCTTATCCATGGGGATATCCAGTTATTCCCAACGTCAGATATGGCAAAAATGTTAATTGAGTTTGCAAAAGATTCTATTGACTCTAATTCCCATGGAGATGTTCATTATTCCATTCGATTTTCCCATCCTGATTCGGTTATTGCCCTCTAGCAGTTTGTGGGAACCTACTCGTATCCCGCCTTTGCCCCCTTCATTTGACTTCACATCCTTTCATCCTAAGGCGAATGTTCAAACCATCGAACTCTAGAAGCCAAGCAGAATGCTAGCTATTCTCCAAAATCTACCTGGTACAACTTATCCGTCGTTTATAAATTATGATATACAAGGGGAGTCCCTCACGGCACCACCGAGATATGTCCATTTCAGCCTATCTCTGTGCTTTCATTCTCACATACCTTGATTCTCATGCAAGATGATGCACTCGTCTCCATTCATTCCCACTCTAACCTCAAAAATCGCCCGACCGACCACCGTCCCCATGTCGACTCGCGCTTACTTTCTTACTGACTTGCTAAAAACCCTAGCAATCACTGGTGCTTCGTAAGGAATCATGTCTTTCCAACTCTACCGCAGCCCAGAAATAAGATCAGTATTTTTGCACTGTTACGTAAATTGAAGTCGCTGAGTATTTTGCTAACATTCGCCGCCTGTTTTGGAACTAAAGATCTTTTGAGTTTTGCCAAGACCCATTAATTCTGCCATCCATGGGTCAAGTATTTGGAACACGGCAAACGCTCATATATTTTTATTGTTTCTAATCTTTATATATCTGGAGAGTTTCCCCTCCTTTTTTTGACTTTCCTCCAGATTTCGGTATTCACTCATTATCTCAATTGGCCCGAATCTGGTTTGATAGACGCTGAAATATCCAACCATAATTACGATAGACTACAAAGGTCACTATGGCGGACTACAAAGGCACTTCCTCTGGTGGAGTGTTCGAACAGAATGCCAATCAAGGAGATTTACATAAAAGAAACGTCGTCGGTATGGAGGAAGGTCCTGATGCTGATGCGCAACTCGCTGCTGAGTTTGGATACAAACCTGTATTCAAGAGAGAATTCGGATACCTCTCGACTTTCTCCTTCGCCGTCTCTATCAGTGGATTGTTTGCTACTACCATGACCACTTTCTCCTACCCAATTATGTCTGGTGGATCTGCCGCGGCTGTATGGTGTTGGGCAATTTCTGGTGCTGGTTGCATGTGTATTGCTGTAAGTTCACGGCAACCATATTTTTTTTGATTAACGTCTTGCTCATTTGATATTAGCTTTCTGTCGCTGAGCTGGTCTCTGCATATCCTACCTCCGGCGGTCTATACTTTTCAATTTCACGACTCACACCAACAGAATGGGTACCATCTATTAGTTGGGTTACTGGTTGGTTGAATCTTCTTGGACAGGTTGCTGGTGTTGCCTCTTCCCAATACGGTGCATCTCAAATGCTGTTAGCGGCCGTCTCCATTGGAAAAGATTTCGACTATACGATAAACGCAAACACAACGGTCGGTGTAATGGCCGGTTTGATGGTTCTCACTGGATTGGTTAACTCACTGTCTACCTATTGGATGGAAAAGATGACAAAGAGCTATGTTATCTTCCACGTTCTCGTTTTGGTATCGTGCTGTATTGCTCTTTTGGTCAAAACCCCGAACAAACATGATGCCACCTATGTTTTTACCAATGTTGAATCAACCTCCGGTTGGACCCCTGTCGGATGGAGTTTTCTCTTCGGGTTTCTCTCCGTTTCCTGGACCATGACCGATTACGATGCTACTGCTCATATCACTGAAGAGTAAGTAATCTAACGCTTTCTTGGACCATTTGGGCTAATCAATCTATTAGAATCTCCGAACCAGAGAAGAAAGCACCCTGGGCTATCTCTATGGCTATGCTTTTCACTTATATTGCTGGATTTCTTTTCAACATCGTACTTTGTTTCTGCATGGGTGACCCGGCCGAAATCCTTGGCACAAGCATCGGCCAGCCAGTCGCCCAACTTTTCTACAACAGTCTAGGAAAGGCAGGTGGTATCTTCTACACCGTTTGCGGATTCATCATTCTCGAATTTGTTTGCTTTA